CTATTAAGTTAGTTTACAGTCAAGTACACAATTGTTTAAAATCGTTTTCAAAAAGACGAATATCGTTATAAAATATAACAAACGAATGTAAGTAGATGATTGTTTTTGAGAAACATTTTCGCCGAAAAGAAGATAAAAATGCTGCGTTTTGACAACAATAAGTGTCTTCTAAAAACAAAAACGAACTAATAAACAACTGAACCGACAACAATACCTACAGTATATTTTAAGTGATATAACAACATTGATTATTTCATAAGTTAACGATGTTTTTTTACGCTTTTAATTTTATTATTTATTTAGCAAAAATGTAACTATGATATATCTAGCTAGGTTAGTGTCACTAATAACATTTCAAAGCAAAAGCTATGTATGGCTCAGTCGATGGTTTTTCTTTTTTTTTTTGAGGTCAATTTAATAAATACATATAAGTATATATACTCTATTTGCCAAATACAACTTATATTCAATTTATCAGTCAAATTAAACAAAGAAAGATAATTTTTGGCATTCCACAAGCCGTTATTTCTTTCGTTATCGTTCAGCGAAAAAACTGGGACAAATCCAACGTTTTGAAGCCATGAGTTGAATTTTTTCCACGTTGATGGACTTATTTCAAATTTACGTAGAAAATGGGAAATCCCAGTGGAACGATATAAGATTTCCTTATCAGAAAATGTAATAAATTTAGTCGAAGGGCCAGAAAAAAGAACGTACGACGGACCTAAGTATTTTACAAAAGAATATGAATAACTGAAAGAAAAATACCAGATCAGTGTTTGATTTTTCTGCTGTATATCCTTTATAATATGTCGACTATTTATTTGTTACATACCTTTTATTGTTGCTATTTTCTGAAAAAAGAACCCCCGGGTCTATACTAAAACTTAAAAATTTATCACTAACCACATGCAACCCCTTCCGTGCATTTATTACGTAAACCGATTCCTCGGCAAGAACTTTTACCGAAAAAACGATAAAAAATAACAATTTAAACATTTTCTATAACCACTGTAGCTGCATTTAACAAAATGGAAATAAATGAATGATTACGTTGCAACATCCAATGCGGAAATACGACAAAAAAAGACAGGTCAACATTTTTTTTATTGCTTAATCGCAATTTCTAAATAGAGTCACAAACAATAACACTCGGCATTTTTCTATAAACAATTTAATTTAATTAATAAGGAAGCAATGTGCTCTAACATTTGACCAATTTAAATGTTCTGTATTTAAATGTTTTTCATATAAATTAGTATCCTTAAAATAAGTCTGGGAATATTAGAAATATTTGATTATTGAAAATTACGCAAAAAGAACGGAAAATGCCACAGCGCTTATTAACAAAATAAAAGTTCAAGTAAGGCAAAAAGTTCACCGAACACAGAAATTAGACACTTATTTGTCAGAATTTTTTTACCACTTGAGTAAAAATGAATAATTTGGTAACCGAGGGGATAACTATTTTTTTTTAATCTGAAAATATCCCCTGTTTTTCTGATAAGCATTAAATTGCATTTTTTCGACTTATATTACTTTATTATTTAAATGAAAAGATAGCTGAAGGTGCCTATTTCAGAAATTTTATTATACCATGACGTATTTTTTAGGGTACCATATTCATACAACGAAAAACAGAACCCTTATAGGATCGCTCGTGTGTCTGTCTGTACGTCTGTCATAATCAATTTTGAACATGGAGGTCATTTTTCGGGGGCCCAATAGAAAATAAAAAAAAAGTTTTGCAAACTGTACCGTGTGACATGTCAAAAGAAAGAGTTTCTTCTAAGGGTCCCCTTATCTCCAAAACTACTGAATCTAAAATTTTTAAAAAAATATAGAAAATAGTTGTTTACTTATAGATTATAGGAAAATTAATACGAAGTTTATGGTCTGAATATGACGTGGTAAATCTATCAACAAAACAATATTGTACGTATAAAGTTACATTTGCAGTTTGAAGGTAGGTATGGGAGAACATTTTTCTTTTTTTTTAACTACAATTTTAAATTGGTTCTCGGATTAGGGTTCCGTATATCCGAATAAAAATCGGAACCCTTATAGGATCATTCGTGTCATTACATTAAATAGAATGTTCGCTACTAGATATATAAATGTGTTTACATGAATCTTTTTTCAAATTTGGTTTGAAAAACTAAAGAATCCAA